GAAACCAGTTGGTTCGCACTCGACTTTCACTCTGTCTTCAGGGAGCAGCCTCATGGTGGGCACAGTCATCCCTCGTAATTCTGAGGGTCAAGTCAACGAGTCCGATTATGCAGTACCTGAGAATCCCACGTACGATTTGGGAACATTCATGACATAACTGCACGGAAAGATCCTTCATTTGGACTTGCACTAAGTAATACAGCTATAGGACTGGAAAGTTTTCTCATTTCGGTTATTTGCTGCGTGGTTAACTAGCTCACGCTACACCAAGCACCAAATTCAAAGTACTATTAGATGCCTTTTTACGCGAATCCTAGCGCTGGCTAGCTTACTGCACCATGCTGACAGCATAAAGATCAGTGCTACAGCTTTTTCGCTGGTGCCTTTCAGGCGAACGACAGCCATTGAACGACGAGAATAAAACCGACCCAGGAAACTTGAGCGGAAGCCTCGGTCCTGTGCATTGATCCGTGAGTGGAAAAATGGGATGACCTTGATTATTTGAGGTATCGCTTCACTCCCGACTAGCGAAGGGTTGTCGGTGAGCCCCGCATAAACATGATGAGGAAGAAGGAGCTTCTCCGTTTGGGATGTAAGTCAAGTTAAAAGTAGGTAAATGCGCTGTTTCTGAATCCTTGGTCAGGGTTATTTGGACCGGCGAAATGTTTGCGTTGTGTTGAGCCAGGTAGTCATAGCAAGAACAAAAATCGTATAATGGGCACAATGGTCAGTAATTTATGTTTGGGCATATATCAAACAGGTTGCAGTGGTCAAACTTAAAAATGTATCGTATATATACGATATATCGTATATATACGATGTATAAGTAAAACTAAGTCTTACTTTGGTCCATTAATGGTCTCGTCCATGCGAACTTATTCGATTGTGGTGCAACGCGACCAGTGATAAGAATAGAGGTCGCGGGCTGTACGTCAGCAGCCAAAGAGCAGTTTGGCTGGGCTTTATTGCTAGGGGTAATGCCAGCACCCAAAGAGTATATCAATACCGTGACGGCTCTGTTATTGTTACTGGCACTTAAATGTACATCGGGTTAACGTGTGACGGCATATTGAGCCAGGGGGACAATATTTTGTTATGGGTTGTTGGTGACTTTCGCTGAAACTTTGATCGAACTATTGATCAAATGCCAGTTCGGGTATCTACTGCTATCCGGGACGAGATGACCCAGTCGTTGGAGCACGAATTTACTGACCGAAAGGTTCGTGGTTCGAACCCGACCTCTGCCTCTCGACTTCCCCTGTCTAGGCTTGGGCAACCTGGTAGTATCCCAGCCCTCGTGCTTCCTTTGGGTGGCATGGCAGCTAGGCACCGAAAGGGTGCCACAACTGAACTATTATTTTTTAGTCCGGATATCTGTTGGACCATGTAGATTAAATTGGTTGACCTAAAGTGTAGCAAAACAGTTGATCTGGCAGTGTGAGATTTGTTGTTGGTTGGTCAGAACAGGATGTAGATTCAGGAAATAATGTTAATGGGAAACTACGGCGAACCTGGGGTTTTCACGGACAGTTGGGGGCCTAACAGCGTTTGAACAGGCTGTTTGAGAGAGCGGATACTTGGCAGTCATACTACGTTGTGGTTTTACGTCGATGTTCCTGGATTGTCATTCTTGCATGTGTCAACATCGATCCGGCTTGTGTGGATGTCCGAAGGGTCGGTCGCAAGGGACATTTGGGAGCTTGTCACGCCAATATTTGATCTTCAGGGATTGGATATGACGAGTGTTATGTTTGGTAACTTTGACTAGCCAGTGTTTGGGTTGAGGGATAATCTTCTTAAGTTGTCTTTGTATTCAGCACGCACTTGCCGACCTTTGCGCCCAAAGACACTTCTTGCGGTTTGGTGACAAGTTTAAATGATCTCGAAAGTCTTCACTCATTATTACTTCATCGCCATTCATCAAAAAAGGCGAAATAGGGCGCAGTCATCCTCTCTTTAGAATGTCGAGCATAGCAGACCGACTGACATCCGTCATCAGGGAAGAATAAATTTTGTGTATATATCTCGAAGGTTGTGTTTGAAAGGGAATACTGACGATTGTGGGAGGTTCGTGAGAATTCGGTAAAGTTCAGTGCGAGTGAAACCGGCGCTGTCTTCTGAATTTGGCTGTTACTGCTCAGCAATAAGTTTCAGGGTTATACATGCAGCACTTGGACTCTATACTGAGAAGGGGGATATTCACCAGCAGTTTGGATTTCAACACCATTGGTTGTCAGGATAATTATGTCCAAACAAAACGTGAGCAACCACATTGGGAAGTGACCGTAGCTAGACAGTATCCTGGGAAATTCACACGTAACACTGATCCGCAGTAGCAGATATCGGGACAGTCTGCCTCACTGACTATTGTGTAAGTCAGCGATTGCAATGAACAACTGTCTGCGAATAATCACCCAGAAGTTCCTGTATTTACCAAGCGTGGAGTTGGATTCTATTGACAGGCGCATGAGTGAAAACTCTATACGGACGAGTTGGAGCTTTGGCAGTAGTTATTGACGATAAAAAAGGATGTGAAACAAGCCGACTGCTCATCATATGGAATTGAATCTCTTTCCCGGGGCTTCGCAATGCTGATAGAGTGCTCTACCACAAAACACAGGTGCAGTGGACCACACAAGTGTAGAGGCACTAAATGGGCACGAAGTAGTTCATTCTAGAGCATAGATAGAAATGCGAGATGAGATTTCACAGATAATGAGGCTTTGTTTATTAAATAAACCAGGTTATTCCTTTGCTTGATCAAAGGCTGTATTTTGGATTCGGTTATTTGTATTTCTGTCAGATAAAGATGGTGAGCATTTTATAAACCGACTCGTTACATTTCGTGAGCGGGTTCATTGTCCTGGACATGAATGCGGCATCTTCGGGGAAACTGGTTGCGATTCTTGCCAACCTCTTATTGGGCGGAAGCCAAGTGTCGCGAATGTACCCTGTTTTTGGGTTGAATCCCACCATCCTCGACAGCACATCAGTGTTCAACACTGATGTTTCGCTGCCGTACAACCATGATTTATTTGAAAGCTTTATTGTGAAGGTGGACGGGAAGGGACTTAGTGCTAGCTTACTGCAGTCATTCCGAGGAGCCTACACCTCCAAACACCCATTCCGGCAATCTGGATAGAAACTGACAACAATATCGCCACTGATGTTGGTTGACAGCCGTACTTTACAACGTCTCCAACCAGGCGCAGTGAGGATCACGCGGCCTTATCCTGGAAGGCGGGTATCATCGACAGCACCCAAAGGCTTCTTGATTTCTTTCATACAGCTCTGTCGGGTCAAGGGTTGGCCATCTCTCAGCTTCCGTCACTCTGAATTGATCATAGAAAAAAGCACTCTCTTTGGAAAATGATTATTACGCATACGTACCATATGTCCTACCCACCGCAGCTTCTGATGCTGAGCACATTCTCTAATGGAAGTACCTGTTGCACAACCGAAAGCTCGCCTTCTAATTATCTCATTACGGATCCTCCGCCCTACACAAGCTATGGTCCTGAGACAACGATTGTCGAACACCTGAAGACTCTCATTTCCGCTGCTCGAACAGGCCAAGTCTCACAGTCATAGAACAAAACAGCCTGTACTGTGGCTTGATAAACACGTCCCTTGTGGTTCAGGGATAAAACACTCTGACGCCATAGGTGTCTCAAATTAGCAAACACGGCCCGAGCCTTGCAGATTTGTGCATTCACCTCATGTGTCACACTACAATCAGAACTAATACAACTTCCAAGATATGTAAAACGCCCCACAACTTCCAGTATCTCTCCCTGGATTGTAAGTGACGTGTTCAGTGACTGCATATCCAGGAGCATGACCTTACACTGTGGGTGCAAAATGCATACCAAAAGACAGGATGACTTTGGTTAGTTCATCCAAAAACACCTGCGCCTTCTCCTCTTCGAAGATGAGAACGATGTCATCTGCATATTCCAGATCGACAAGGTTTTCTTCACAGGCTGTTTGGACACCGGGGTTTTGGAGACCCTCCAGCGTTCGTCTCATTTCGTCGATCACGAAGTTGCAAAGTAATGGGGGGAGTAGGCATCCCTGACGAACACTGCTTTGTGTACGGAAGCTTTTGGAGGGGTCGCCATATATACTCGGAAATTTACCACAAACTCGCTTCAGACCTACAGTTTATTGCTCGTGATATTCAGAGCGCAAATTTCATTTGCTAATGCAACACTGTAAATAAGTGACGAGTCCTTTGGTGTCCGTATACTCTCACCTGTCCGGATATCTGGGAATACAAAATGCTTATTCTGTCCACGAACTTCCGGGGCATTCCTTGGTGGGCGAGCGTTTCAAGCAGAACAGACCGAGTCAAACGTGCCTTGGAAATCCATGAATACTAGAAGCGTGGGTCGTTTATACGTATGGCGTTGTTCTAGCACCTGACGGAGTGTGAAGATTTGGTCAACGCGGCTCCTTCCAGGCTGGAATCCCGCTTGCTGGTCACTAGTCAGTGTTTCACGAGCCACCATGAGGCGACGAAGCACCAGTGATGCCAGCAGTTTTGTTACGACCTGGGTCAAGCTGATCCCCCTGTGATTGGTACACTCACTGAATGCCCCTTTTTTGGAAATGGGCACTGTCACCGACTGCCCCCAGTTTTCTGGAACAGACTCCTTTTCCCAAATACAAGCAAACAGATCAGACAAGCGTTAATTGAGGAATTCACCGCCGTCTTTGAACAGAGCGGGTGGGAGGTCATTCGGTCCAGAGGCTCAGTGGCACTTAAGAGAACATATGCAGTCATAAACATCGGAGGCCTTAGGTGGTTCCACGTTCACCGTCCATAAAATAGCATAAAAACAGCCTGCAATCAGCACACAGCTGAAGCGATTGTTCCCCAGTGTCCGTACGTACCGAGTCCAATCTATGTCGACCTCCTAATTAGGTCTCAGACACGCCAAGCCTCTCCACTTATGTATTCCAATCTCCGGCAACCACCACGATGTTTAAGCTTTTAGCTCGCCGCAGCAGGGCATTCGTGGCGTCGTATCCACTAAAGCAAGGATACTTCGACTAGGTGAGCTAGGACGAAGCCAACTGCTGCACATCCCGCTGCCGCAGTCCCTGGATCACCAGAGGTGCGTAGCTGGAAACGAGTGGAAACTTATGGGGCGGTTAGCTCAATCACAGTGCTTGCATCTTAAATTCTTGTTTCAGAGACACAGCACACATCAGTGCCAAGCGGGTTCAGTGTGAGAGCAAGGGCGGCTTGTTGTCCTGCTTACTTCGGAGTGTGGACATCGAAGGCGGCCAGATAGACCGGGTGACGAGGCTTGAAGACTGAGTTGGAGATACCTGAGGATGTTGGCGCCATGTGACGCAAAACCGATGCAAGACTAAGGGAGTTATCAGTCCTAATTGCTGGACCCACAGAGATAAATTCATTAATGGGGGGGGGAGAGGGGGAAGGAAAAGTACGTGAAACAGAAAGAAGGGAGGCTTCAGCAGTAGCCTGTTTCCACTTACGCTCTCTGCTCTATAAAGCGAATAAGTTGACCCGGCTGATGGTACCACGCGATGGCCGGTGTGTTTTGTCTCATGGTTGTACTTGGGCTTGGGTACTGTCAGGGCGCCCACACCTAGACAGAAGGGTGATTAGGTTCCTCAACTAAAGCCTTTGGCTCAAAAGCCCAACCACAAGGCAGAGGTGTTTGGCCGGCGATGCAAACGCATTACCACTTCTACGGAACAAGTCGTCACGTTCCAACCCGTAACCTGGAGGACCAGAAGACTGCGTTCGTCAGACCTCAAAACATTGACCAACCTAGTATGAGAGACTTTGTGAGTGTCGCGGGGACACCTTCAATATAGTCCAACGGGTCGCTGAGGTGCGCAAACCGTCACACCACGGTAAGGCCTAGTCTCTAGTAAGAAAATAGGGAACACATCTGAACGATGGAGATACAAAGTTGTATAGGATTAGGATTCGTCACGACCTTGCAACTTGATGTAGTTTGTGAAGATTTAGTGCCAGTGATTCCAGGCGTTTTCTGCGTAGGTAGGATTCCCATACATGTTTTCTCGCCCAGCTGCATAGATTGTTATGGATTGAGAATAGACTAAGAAATCGTCTAGTTGTAACCTCCTTTCGGTGTCTAACTGCCATGCCACCACTCCCAGGTTGCCAAAGCCTAGACGGAGGAATCGAGAGGCAGAGGTCGGGTTCGAAAAACGGACCTTCTGGCCGGTAAATTAGCGCTCTAACGACTGAACGTTATCCTCGTCAGCTGTAAAAACTGGTTACTTGCCTTACATTGGTACTGCCTGCCACAGTTTCGTTTGCTGATTGATTAGGGATTCGGGGTAGGTAGCTGTGCATTGAATGAGGTAGCCGATTTGATTGTTGCGTAAATACAAGGGTGTCAATAGACTTTTCGTTGAGGAGATCATACAGAGAACTTTGCTCTGAAAACACGGGCTTGATGTACGCAATTGAAGGTGCGACTTGGTCGTGTCTGAAGATATCTCTAACCACTGATGTGTCTCGGGTCCCCCCATGCAGATAGATAGCAATGATCACTGCAGCTTAGTTTGCTGGTAATGGCTTCCATACTTCACTGTCAAGTCATTGTTTAACCTCTCCTGGCTCGTTTCAACCCTTCGAGTGGCTGTGCCGAAGAGCTCTACGAGAAAGTCTTCTGACTGTTGTATGGAGCCCATGATCAAACCGGCGCATCCTATGGAGTGTGATCAGTTCATCAATCCATGGTGAATCAGTTCTTTTGAAAACCGTTCCACATACTTCATCATTTTTGATGCGGTGTCCCCACCAGGACTGACAATGCCCGAAAGACATTGATGGTCAAACACTGAAGACTGAAGGCCTCAGTGCGCAGTGATCATATTTTCGGCCGCATCATAGCATTTTAAACTTGATTCTTGACAGGTCAACTAATGTCACGTCCACTCCACAGGTGGTACAGATTCGTTAAAAGGAAACAACACAAGGCGTATATGTTAAGCTTTGTTTGTCCGGAAATCCTAGATTGATGCTAAGCTGAATTAAGCGGATGTTTGGTAAATGTATGGCTTATATGGTCGTAAAGCATATGAAGGCAACCCTAGTAGTATAAAACACGCAAGGTTGTAAGACCTCAGCTTGGATCCCGACCCTTATCCAGGACTGTTTTGTTCAGTTCTTTTACGATCGCCGCCGTCTATAGTTTACTTTTCTCTTCGCTGTTGATGTCACGCAGTACCAAGTTTCCGAGCTTTCGTTGACGGACGGTCTAGCAGTTGTTTGAAGCATTCTGTCCGTCGGTTGGGCCTCTGGTGATGATTGTTGAGAAACTCAATTTGTCGCACGTAGCAAATGCTGTTGAACCCAACGTTTTCCTGAAGACAAGCGTATGGGGCTAAAATAAATCTCACAAATGACCAAACTCTGAGGTAAATTCCATTTGAATGTCATGGCCAATCAGAATGAGGTGTATTGACGAGCTGATCAAGAACGTGCCACCTTTCTTACAGCGTTGTCATAACTCAATCCGGTCAGCTACGTGGCGCGTGTTGTCATCTCATCCGCCGTCTCGGGTGTTTCAGTGGCTAGTTGCTGTCAAGAATTCTCGCCTTGAGGTCTTATTGACGCCATTCTGCCATCGTTCATGAAACTTCTTTAGGGTTGGATCCGATGCACACGTGTGATCAATTTCAAGTGGATTACCTTTAAGCGAGCCACCACTAGCCCAGGCGATACTGGGTTCTAAGCAATAAGTACGTTGACAATGTGATTACTTACTGTAATCACAATATCATAGGTGCCTGATTTGTTTGCTGGTCCTATGCCAGTAAGAAGCGCCTGATCCAGGAATCTCATTTCGCTGCGTGCCGTGTGGGTAACCGGGTCTCCGAAAGACACCTGATAGCTGTCCAATGGTCGTAAATGCTGTCCATGCATATGTTTTGACTGACATGTCAACTAGGGCACAGGCGTCCAAATAAGCATTGGAAATCCCAGATTGCGTTCTGGTAATTCCCTCCACTCTGCCAGCAAGTGCTGCGTTCCCTTCAACATAAGAGAAACTGCGTGTTGGATAGATTGTCATCGAAGTTTCTTGGGAATTTGTTACTGGTTTAGTCCCCCGCGATACCTGGTTCTTAACCAAGGACGTTCCTTTTGCCCCTGAACAACCAGGAACAACCTGCAATGCAGCGGCGAACGTGCAGAGAACAGGTGATAAATAATACCTACCTGGACGTTGGATTCAGAAGGTAATCTCATCCACCCAACCCCGCGGAGTTGATTAGTTCTTGCCGTTGGTTTAGCTAACCTCCCTAGACAGACAACCGGTGAATCAGGTTATACGAACTGGCACCCAGTTATCACCCTTCAGCTTCGGCGGAAACACATCCACCAAGAGAGGCCAGTAAATAGGACTTTCACGCTAGAGTTCCCATGGTAGCAACTCATATGGGAGGACTTCAGTAGGATGCTGGTTTTTGGAGAACGCCCACCTCGGACCATATGGGTGTTTCAGGAATGGGGCTGAAGCCAACCCTGAGTTTTGGAAATTTGAAGAGCCATCGAAATCCATTATGTTGTGATTGAATACGGTAAACTGAAAGATGATTTGAATACCGCGTAAACAGCACCCATGCGTAAACTTCAAGATGCAACTATTAGTTAGGTTTATCTAGAAATAGCTGGGTTTTTCTCTATCATGCGGTGAAATTGCATTAATACAGCACGGACACGGCGTTTGATGCAGGTTGGTGGACTCCCTATAGAAATGTGTCACTGATCTTTACAATACTAATAACGGTAGTAATAGTAATGGGCCCGCTGTAATGCCCTTTCGATACCTGGCCGCCATTTTACCCGAAGAAAGCATGAGCACTGAAATACTGCCAGGTTACCCAAGCGAAGACAGGAGCAGTCGAACTGTCGGGGTGGGTCTCGAACTACGGACTTTCCTATGGTTGTGAATACATCAGCTAAGTATCAGTGTTCAACAGTGCCAATCATGATGATGACTACGATGGTGTCTTGTTCGACTAGCGGTTTCAGGCTAGTGCCTCATAATCTATTTCACTTGTCTAACTTCGTTCACGCGGCTCCAAATATGGCTCTGGACAAACTGTATTCAGTTGGCCAGGTGTGAGTAGATGCTCAGGCTAACGTGTACTGATGGACCCACTCACAACGGTTGCCCATTGTGGTAGTGGGTTTCATAGGACACCACTTCGACCTTAATTCATATCGCCTTGTATTGCGAAATCTGTTCCCCGAAACCGTGGATCACGCTATCCTTAATCGTGTTGCTTTGTGTTGATGGGCTTTGGATATTCCAAACATCTTATTCTTATTAGTTGTTGAACGATTTCATTGATTCTTTTTCCAGCTGTGTGATAAGGAATGCCTGTCAGTTTGTGGGATGAATCCGATTCAGAGGACGAATTACTGCCTGGCTGGCAACAACTGGTCGGGCCAGAGGGTCGAGTATTATTCTACAAGTATGTTGCGGAGATTCTCCAGGGATTTTGTAGCCAACTGTCACAATAACTTCAGTTGGTTTCATGTCTTGGTAGGCCTATTGATATTGCTCTATGTAACTTATGGTTTTCAGGGCGTTAGATGTCATCACCTAGCAGCTGTGTTGTTGGGTTAGCACAATCGCATGCTTATGTTCTGTACCAGTTTGATTCGTATCTGAGGGAAACATTCACACCCCATGTGCTTTCCTATTGTCTTGTGACTGGATTTTCGGAATCCTTGTTTTACTTACCCCCGTTTAGCCTGCTTGAGTTGCACAGGGACTTGATTCTACCAGTTCACCTTTAATCTTTATGGTAGATAAAAAGCTACATAACACATTAATTAGAGCGTGTGTCATTGGCTACTGAACGACCCCACTAGCCAATACAAACGTCGCCTCTAAGAGGCAGCTTTCAAAACCCTACTGGAGGTCCTTTTTATATAGGAGCGTTACCATCGGAATAGGTCTCAATAAATCGGCCAAGCCCAACGTCATCTGACGGGTAGTCTTCTCAACAGGTGTCAGCTGTAAAACATCCGGTTTATCGTTAGCTTACTGAGCAAAGATCACGGTTCTCCAAAAATGGAAGCGAGGACTCATCAGTTTTTTACTGATCATCTCCACTCCATGCAGAATATGCAGGACAGGTTGAGTAACCTTGACATAGAGTCCAAACAGTTTGACAGTTACACAGGTGCGTTTAGAACGACCTGACCAATAGGGAACTTCGGTGAAATTGTGTAAAATGTAGGCCTAATAACCGAGGAACTAAGCCCGATAGCTTCAGCAGCCGCGTGAATAGTGAGTCCACCAGGAAAAGCAAGCGTAATAGCCTGTTTTGAGACCTGGATTAAAAAGTGCACAGCGATTGTAGGGATGCGGACTAGATCTATTCTCCGGTGAGTTGGAACGCACGTGTGAGAGACAGCTCTGTACAAATATCTTCACTTACGCGGATACGGTGCTCACTCAAGTACGACATCAACAGCAGCTAGCGAATATTGGAGAGTTGGTTGTACAGTAGGGGTTGTTGTGACTGCAAAAATATGTGATTACATCTGGCTTGATCCCAGCTGCAGCCTTATATCTCCCCACCACGCGTGTCAGAAGCAAGACGGAAAGTAACGTTCATTCGGCAGCGCCACAACAGTGTAATTCGGATTCAGCTCGGAAATTTGACAGGTTTTGTCTGACAGCTTGTGTTACTGGTTTTATGTGCATATGTGTATATAGGCAGAATGTGCAAGTAGTAGTGAGGGCGCTTCATCTAATGGTGGATAATAAGTGAGCAGTGTCTTAAAAGGAAGTCATATGCAGGATGGCGAATGTGGGTTGGCCTCTATGGTTGCGCAGATGTGGTCCGCCGACTGCGTCCAACAGACGGAGGTGTTGAAAACGTGTGTGGTGTATTTGTGCGTTACCGTGGTAGCATGTCGCGGTGTTTGATTTGACTATGCAGGCCTTAGATCAGTCTCAATGGCAGGCGATGGGCGAAGTCCAACAGTGTGCATATTATCCAGCTGCTATAGTGCCTGAAAATAATGTATGGTACGCTTAAGGTATGGAAGAAATCGTTGGCCTCAACACCTTTTCAGTGTGTAGCTACCAAGCCACCTGAGGGAGTTTCGTGGGCTGAGATGCTGTTCGGTTACTGTTAGGAAAATTTTATATTCTGAGGGTGGATTCGAGCCGGAAACCTTCCAGTCAGTATGTTCGCGCCCTACCCTTCGAATTTGGGATGGAAGATGCACTGTCATGGCTGGTAATCATAAAAAATACACCTGACGAGGATGCTGTCCCAATGTCCGTATCCATGAGAAATAAGTTGAACAAACGTTCTTTTGGTGCCACATTCCTTTTGCAGCCAACGCGGTCACTATGCGCTATCGAACCTTGCCTAGAATATGGCCGTTGGGAAAGCTCAGGTTGTTGAGTGCCACGGAGTGTATGACAGTATCTTCGTTTGCTGTACAGTGTGCAGTCACCAATCGTGATTCTATATCCACTGGTCCTAATCCACCCGTCTTTCTGTACTGAATTGTTTGATCGTATCCAAAGAGCGCCGTGACTCATCTGTGAAGATGGCCTGCAGTGTAAGGAGGGATATCTACCATGACCCCAATGACAGACAATACGATTTGTGTTCAACGCGCAAGTCCACAAAGTTGTTTTTCCGGGAAGTGTGAGCCAAACCCTCTTTTCCAATCTTTCCTCTATGAGCTATGAGCGCGCGCTTCGCACCTTCTCCCGTGCATCAGAAGAGTGACATGAAGTACTTGTTTGAGACATTTGCTGCAACCACAACATACGGTTTTCTGTCGAAGTGTTTAAGCATGTCTGTCGAAAGTACGAACTTTAATTGCGTTTGTATGTGTTGACAGTTCGGTGATCAGTTCCATGGAGCTTTAACGACGAAAATGATCCACGATGTCGTACGTAGTTCCTCCCGGCTACTGCACCATTTCACCTTTTCTCCGTATCAAAAGAAATCGGTGCTCAGTTGCATCGTCTTTCACAGAGGTCAGAACTATGAACAACTAGACTAGTCCATCCCATTAACCAGCTTCAGAGAGCTTGTAAGGTGGTTCGCGCAATGTGGTTTAATAAGTCTGAAAATAAGAATTCCGGGTGGACATCGTGGGCTAAAAGACGCCTTGGGCTCGAATCATCGAACTTCCGCTCACCGGACGAGCTGTGTATCTAGTGGGCTTATCCGTTTCCGCTGTCGGGCAATACCAACTCTGGACACTTCGATAGTGTACGTCAATGCAAGGCGATCTCGACATACGGACACATCTTTGTTATTTTCGTGTCTTGGTACGACTAAAGAAGCTGACCAGATTTACTGATAATCGATACTCGAGAATGAATTTCGAGATGCCTAGGACTTTTGATGGTCAACGAAGTACGCGCGTTTCGGTTAGGGCTAGTGCAAAATGAATACATTCGTGAAAAGTGGTGAACAGCGGGAACTTTCATTGTGTTGAAGTGCAAAGCAAGAGACTAATGATAGAAACGAAGGTAGTTGTCATCAAAAGATACATGATCAGGTTTCCGCCCCACTGTGCACACTAGTTGATCTGATCCGTTTGATGACTTTACTTCGTAAGCAACATAATGTATACTTATCTCGGAACACGCGATTTTAGTTTAAACGCCCGTTCTGCTACAGTTGAAGCATCCAAATCTGGACCAATTCTTCCTTCTTTGACAAAACACTAAAAATACAGGATGATCGTGTGCGTTTGAGTGCCTTGGACAACACCAGAGTACCTTCACTTACCTTCATTCTCTTATCCTCATCCGGCGGTCGCGTTACGCCATAATATCTGCTTACTGGCAGTTGACACTTGTGTTCCATATTATGATTGCTTGTGACTAGAATTCAACGTTCTCTGGCTCGCATTAATGCCACTGACTGTTCGTATACTGAATTGCTGTTATCTCTGTGGGTACTGTAAAATGCCAGGGCGGAACTCAGTTTTCCCTCTGTGGCAAGATTTTTGCGTCTTGCGAACAGTGGTCATGTGCACTCTTTTCTTCAGCTCCCGAACCGGCCTGTCGAGTCTGCTTCATCCAGTCTCTAGACGACAGAAACGGGTCACGAATACATTACCACCAGGATGGAACAACTCGACGGATCAGGCTGGTCGACCCATTTTTACACAGTGAGTCGCTTGTTGTGCTAATTGTATTGTACATTAGCTATCGATAAAAAACCGTTCAGCTGTAGCATCCTTTTGATGTCTAACTGCCATGCCACCAGAAGAAAGCACGACGGCTGGGATACTGCCAAGTCGCCCAAGCCTAGACAAGGGAAATCGAGAGGCAAAGATGGGGTTCGAACCACGAACCTTCTGGCCAGTATATTCGTGCTCTAACCAATGAGCCTTCTTGTCTCCTTGTTAGACTTATTGAACAGGACGATGTGGATCTACCCTTTGTCAATGTTATCACCCATTGAAAATGTACAGCGATCATAATAAAGTCCACCCTTCAACGTTTTGGACACATCGGTTGCGGTTTGTTATTCATCCTGTATTCTACGACTTCTGGTGTCTTCCCTTAGAGTCTTAGGGACGTGTTCGAAGACCTAACGTCTCGCGTATTACCTTTTCAAGCATACGCTGTTATGCAAATGAATTGATAGGAACGAGTCGGCCGACAGTCAACCGCGCCACGGAAGGCTTTGGTAACCGGTATCGTAAGTCACCCGTACATATTCCCTTGACAGAATTCGAATATGTCCACCTAGGCCCTCAGGTTGTGTCTTCACCTACTACGTTCGCGGGGAATCGGCCTCATCGAACAGTATCATAGACCACACCAGAACTTTCGTTTCGTTTGGTGGAAACGCATAGCTTCTCTCAGGCCCTGTGGGTTCTTTGCTGTTAGGGCTTTCGCGAAGCACTGCGCTCCGTCGTTTTTGATAACGAACACCAAGTTGATCCGATCCGTTATGTTGCTGAA